GATCCAAAATTCCAGGCCTACTGGGTTACACAGTGAGACTCTTCACAAATATACAAGCAAAACAAAAACTTGGGAATTAGTTATTTCCAGAACATATCAGGGCACAAATTCTGGTTGAGACAAGGTCCCAAGGAAGCAAATGCCAATTCCAAGTCTTCCAGAGTTTCAAGTCTGAAGGTAATTCAAGTCCCACAGGACAATGTATCTTTATTTACTCACCCCCCAGATACGTTTATTTTCCCACTCACATCCCTGCCCTCCAAGGAGTTCAAAACCTCCTCACTATTTGTGACCCAGTGGCTGCCCCTGTTCCAGGTGTCCCACTACACTCTCCTATTTACTTCCTTTTTAGCTCCCGATTAAGTCACCAATGGGATAGTGCATATCTACTGATTACTCCAACAACCGTCTTGGATAAGCATTTCAATGATTCCCTTGAAGTCACTACAAAGACCATTTAACTTTAGGAGAAAAGAGTAAGCATTGAGAGTATAGGTAAGTGCTGCTTCCCAGTCCAGGGGCAGAATCAGGAAGCAAGGCTGATCTTCCGACCTTCACTGGAGGGTGTCTGAGAAGAACAGGGTCATCGAGAACTTCTCTCAAGTGTTTCAAGCTCTCAGGGCAGATGCTGTGATCAAATGGCTTAATGAAAAAGAGGGAGCCTGGTTGGTGGACAACTGTAATGCCAGCCCTGGGGAGGCTAACTGTGAGCCTGAGGCCAGGGTGGTTAAGTCAAACAAGACCCTGTCTCAAAACAATTAAAAGGACGGCTGACGATAACTTAAAACCATAGCAGAGGGGACACTGTCTGTGGTGGAGGCTCAGTCACCAACTCTGAATGCCCCACAGTTCCAGCCTGTCCAGCTTCCAAGGTTAAGCCACTCAGTGCTATAACATTTTAGATCTCAGTATTTTCCTTCTTTCTAAAGTCCTGGAAAAAAAAAATCAATATTTATGATCAAGATGACTTTTTAATACTCCAGTATTCCCAGGAGTGTATAACAAATCATTTAGTGAAGTGTGTTCTCAGAGACTCTACCATTAGTCTTGCTTTTATAGCCGCCTCCTCTGGTGTGGTGCACATCCTCCATAAGGTGCTAGGGAGAGGAACAGCCAGAGAGAAGCCTCTTTTGCCTCAACTCAATCATCTGGAGGTGAAGGGAAGCCCCTCCCACAGGCACGATTCAGCTGATCAGGAAAAGAGCTCATCCAAGGTAATTTGCTACAAAAACGAGGCTTTTGGCATCTAACCCTCCAGTGCATCACAAACTTCCTGCTATTATCTAATAACCCCCCAGCCATCACTGTTTCCACGGTAACCGACAGAGAAATAGCAGCCTGCCAAGCGGCTTTTGTAGTTCCTTTTCTAGTTTGCTCTTCTGTATAGAATTAGAGTTAGATGGGGAAAGAACCAGGCTAATCTTTGCAAACAGGAACACGATGTAGTTTGGGAAGTACAACCAGGCTCGGGATAAGTAGTGCAGAAAAGCTTTCACGAACCCTGACAGGGTACAAAAGGTCTGTTGATGTGTATTTGGTAAGCCTTCCCTTGTCTTTGGGCAGGACAGGCTGGCACTGGCCAGTTTCTGATGTGACCCACACAAAGGAAGGGACAGGGTGCAGAACAAGACCAAAGAAGACTACTGTGCCCTTTGGACTCTAAAATCAAACTCGGAGCAAGACTCCACAGGCTTGGAGCAGAGGACAGTGAAGGATGGTTGGCACCTTGTTGTTCCCTGTTTAATCCTGATGGCATGGGCTGCCCAAATCAGAGGGCATGTGGGGACTGGAGGTCTCCTTCCACGTCAGCAAGGGAGAGACTGTAGGAAATAGTGTGTAGAACATGGGGCAGCTTTCAGATCAGCAGCCGGACTGATCGAGGTGCCAGACTGCAGAGCAAGCAGCTGCTACAGGGGTGGAAGAGTCTGAATTTGTTAAAAAACAAAATGGGGGGGGGGGGAGCAAGACTATCTCTCTTGCTGGGCATGGCAGTGAATACATTTCTAGCACTTGGGGAGATAGGGGCAGGAGGATCAAAAGTTCAAGGCCACCTTTGCTACAAGAGATCCTGTCTCAAAAAACAAAAAGTCTTTGAAAGTAGCCACCAAAGGCTTCTGTCTCAAAACTCCATAGCTATGTGAAACCCAAGAAATCTCTTGGCCTTTATCTGCTTCAGCTGAGAAACCAAGTCAATCAGACAGGTGACAGCTCTCACCTGATAGGTCAAAGCTAACGGGGATGTAGAAGACTCCCTCCTACAACATTAACTAACACAAAGGTCTTGTTGGCAGACAGGAAAATTACAGCCAGTAGTGACATTCAGAGACAGGTCCTAAGAGTACCGAGAGTCAGACCTCCAAGTGCCACACAGAAGAGTGACTTATCCTGTTTAACTCTGGGTTATGAGTCACGATGAGCCACTACCTGAATTTAGACAGAAAAGCAGACGAAGATTTGAACAGCTGATTCCCTCGAATCCTTTAGGAGAGGCCCACTCGCAATAAGATGTATGCCCCGAGAAATAGTTCCACGGCTGTCAACTCAAAGAAAGGCTTCTGCATTTGGTTATATTTATGGGGCTCCAGAGTTTTGGAATCTGTTAATGAAGTCTGAGTGAGTCCTCACAAGTTTAAACATGTGCTGTGTTTACTCAAGAGTGGAACTTCTAAGCTGTAATCACCAATGTGTGATTATAATCTCAAACACAATAACATTCAGTTTCTCCATCTTAAACAAAAGTCAAAATTGAGAGTATGCACAAGAATTGTGCCAATTCAATCCCAGTTAAAATGAGGCCAGAAGCCAAAACTTACTAGAGCCAGTAACCGGGGTACTGACTGTTTATGTTTCTTCCCAAACTCATTTCCGCAGCCAACTTTATTTCAAGACCTCAGATAAATTTTCTCACTTAGGAGATGTATTATTTCCATTAACTCAGCTGGCACAGTTGTAGTCCAGGGCCACCGAGGGGACTTGACCTCTTCCACTACTCCATGACCTATGCTTTCACCAGGTTCCTGAAAACAGACTTCAGGAAGCCTGAGGAGAGACAGCCTCGGTGTGGGCAGTCTCTCTCTTAAATAGAGCTTTCTTCCACACGGTCACACCCAGAAACAATGCTGCATGTGTTTGCTGACCACACACCAACCTACAACATAACAAGTTAATACCAAGAAATAGTTCTTGTCCACCTCGTGCTGGGCTTCTGCTTGGTTTGTCTGTGGTGCTGACAGAACCAGGGCCTTGCACATGCGCTCTGAGCTGTAGCCCTAGTCCCTGAGACAGGTCTTTCTCTGAGAGAATGAAGAGCTGGGTGCTGGGAGGGAAGATGGTCAGGGTGTTTCTGGGCACCAACGCACTGCTAACGTTTAGCAGTCGGGAGCCGCATATAATTGAAACTATCTACTCGGAAAGCATACTTTGGGAATTCTTAAGTTCCCATCTATAAATAGGCCCCCAATTTTTTCATAAGGGGGTAGTGTTGAATGTATGTGGGTAAAGAAACAGTCACTGAAGACTTAAACACTTGGCATCAAAGCAAATCAATGTGAAGAACCAAAGGGAGGGTGATACCCAAGCTGACAGTACGAGAGCTGGAGGAGCAGCCTGCTCACTCACAGCTAACCTGCAGCCCCAGGACCTGCCTGGAAAAGGGCTGGTGTCCCACTGTCTGCTCGAGAAGAGGGTCTGAAAAGCCATCAAGCTCAGTGATCCTCCACTACCTCTAATATAGGAGTCTTACAAAGGCAAGAAGAGCTCTTCATATGTGTGGGCTAGGATCCAAGTGCAGGCCTAGGTATAGAAGTGTGATCATGCCTAAAAGACACCAGCAAAGGCCCGGCAGTTTGGTGCTCAGCTCCTTCCTAGTCCCCAAGAAGGCTGCTGGAGATACGGTCATGGTTCTTACACTGGTGACTGAGAATGCTCTACCAACAACAACCAAAGTTTAGGTGGAAACAAAACCAAAGCAAACTTGATCAATGGAAATAATACCAACAGATGGAGTTTGATGTCCTATGTGTCAAATAACTCAACGTGTTACAAAACATCTGCACGCATGAAAACCCAATGGCACTGTAACCTGGACAGGCCTGTTACTGCATTCTTACAGAAGTATCTGATGTAGAAGAGACAGGAGTTCTGAGCAAGTCAGGAGGCCTGAATTATGAATTAGGTCATCATCAAAACACAAGCTGCTGGCCCTCCACACTGACGGGGCCTGGTTTATTGGTACAAGCTGAATAACCGGAACTTGGAAATCAGGATGACTTAGTGAATTCCCTCTCGAAGTTTCTTCTAGTTTTCTATCTTTGTTCTAAGGTTCACTTTTGATTCAGAACATAAGGGCTGGACTTGGGGTCAACAGTCCCAAATCTTTCAAATGCATGTAATCTACACGAGAGCTGGGGTGAAAACTGAATCTGAAGTCCGTTTACCCACTGCTCCCCAACCTCAACTTAGGCACACTATGGCCTGGTAACCTGGCTTGAGCTTCCTCTCAGGAGTCAGAGGCTCACACATCTTTCAGAAGAAGACTAAGAACATAGCGAGGATCTGCATGATGCTCTCTCACAGAACAGTGGCCTGCCACACAGGAGCACAGGAAATGACAGGCACTTCAGGGGCATCTTTCTCGAGTTTCTGGAATCTCCCTAACTCTGAGTCACCCTTCTGGAACTCTTCAGTCATAGCGTGCATCACAACTGCAATCATTTCGATGCTTTGCCTAGTAGATGCCTTGCATAGGACAAGGACTGTCACTCCTTTCCATCAGTGGGAATGGGCCCACAGAACCTGGCATAGGGAAGACAATTCCTGTTGGATAAGCAAATGCATGAGTGGGCACTTTGGAAGCCACATGTTTCCTACGGAGGAAGCAATCAGCTGAAAATGTTTCACCAATATCATGGACTCCTGGAAACAGCGGCTTTTAGGAGATCCGTGTTCTTCACTGATTAGGAGGTAAGAGAAAGCACATGTTTACGGCAGAGAATACTTACAGGTGGGGGTTTCTTCCTCATCTCAAAAGTCCGAGTGGCACCAAAACTAAGTGACGCAATGACGGGGCAGCTCCCCAGTGAGGGCTCATCGTCACTGTGCCAGTCCACGCTGTCCTTCTCGTTCCGGTACAGATTGCACAGCAAGGAGTTGAAGGTGTGGCCAGTGTTCTCCTCAATGCGGCTCTTCAGAGTACAGAGCACGGGATGCCACTGCCAGCAAGCCGAAGCAGGTGCAGGGGCAGACACACAAGGCACAGTAGGCCGCCATGGAAAAAGAGAAGGAAAGGCAAAAATCAACCGAGTTCTGAGCAGGGCATTGCAATACACAGAAGGCCAGAGGAGTAGCTTCGTCTCCTCCCTCCATCTCTGTGCTGAAGCCAGCCAGCCTCCTCCACTCTAGGAAAGTACTAAGTGGGAAGGCTGGAGTCTGTCTACCATCTCTTGTTTCTCCTGCAGTGCATATCCCCACCAAGAAGCCAATGTCACTCCGCTGAGGGTGGTTCTGGAAAGGTAGTGCTGTGCTAAGTGGAGCAGTGACGCTGACGTAGCCAGTCAGTCCACACACTCAGGCTCAAGTGAAGAGCAAGAGAACTCTCAACGGGGTGCCTTCCATTCATCCTGTCCCTATTTTATTCTCAACAACAGATTTGCTTTCCTGAAAAGTATGTAATATTTAGAGTAGCTAACTTCCTACAGTCAGAACCCAAAGCCTGGCAGAGTGGTGCGTGCCAGTAATCCTAGCACTTAGGAGGCTGAGGCTGAGGCCACCCTGGTCTATGCGATGTCAACAAACACATGCGCTCTTTTTCTTTTCTATAGAATGGGACCCAGAGCACATTCTTAAAGCCATAAAATTACAGACTTACTCACACTGCACAGCACTGCTTGCTGTCCGTGCCCAGTTCAGGGGTGTAGTTTGCACCATGTGGCCATGTACGCAGGGAGCTATGCACATCAGTCACAGGCTGTGCACTGGCTTTCACTGGAGTTCTGTGTCTCACTAAAAGTCTCAAGAGCCCGGCATACACTTTAGGACAGTGGTTTTCAAACTTTACACTACCAAAATTACTGATGTCCTTAAAAATCCTTCGTTGAATTTTACTGTTGTTGTTTGAGACAGGGTCTCAGTATGTAGCCTTGGTTGGCCTGGAACTTGCTATGTAGATCAGGCCGATCTTGAACTCACAGAGATCTACCTGCCTCTTCCTCCCAAGTGCTGAAACTAAAGGTGTGCACCACTATGCCCAGCTCAAACCTTTGTTCTTTTAGGTTACAGTTATTGATATTTACTATATTAAAATTAAAGCTGAACTGAGAGGGGTGGTACATGCTATAATGCCAGGAGGCTGAGGCAGGAGGACAAAGTTCAAAACAAATACATCATTGGTAGTTCATTCAAAAGGCAACAACAAATCTGTGTAACTTCGTATGAAAAAAAATGTCTGTAATTTCAATAGAAAAATGTGACGAGAGTGGTCCTGCTTTGCAAATGCAATGTCTGTCTTCACAGGAGGCAGCCAGCTCTTCTGCTTCTGCATTTACTCTGCTAAAATTAGTGCACAGTCCTGTCGGAGCGGGTTCTGTGATTGCATCCAAACCTCAGGCTGTGCGGACTTCTTGAGTTAGCCCCAATCCGGAATCTGACACTATCTCAAACTTGTCTTGTTGTTTTACATTTCAATTTGAATGGACCTTTACCCTTGTGTGGTTTTGGTAAGACCTACCCTTCGTCACCTGGGAAACACTGGTCTCTGAGTTATACAGTTCTTCTAAACATTCACACATTTCATTACATAGTAACGAAACTGTAAATACTGACACTAATCTCATCAGACAAGTCTAGGTCATGGGAAGAAGCCAGGCTCAAAGTGATGGACACTAGTTTCCCCCAAAGTCTGGTTTTTTTTGCTTGAAAATTCAACTTTTATCATTGACAACAAACCCTGTCCACTCTTTTCACTGAAGTGAAACTAATTTCACTTGTCGATAAGGACATATTAGTCAGGTTCTCAGATCTGAATAAGAGGTCTGTTTGCCAGTTGTTTTATATAAAAGTAATCTATGGGGGGGGCAGCTTACAACTCAATCACACTCAGTTTTTAGGAGACATGCTTTATGAATTCTTTCAATATCATCAATGAACTATTCAGATGTACTTGAATTTGAGGATTTAATAAAACTAAGGTTACTGTTTTCAAAAGGCTAATCTTCAGTGAAGTCAGCTTTTTTGTTTGTTTTTTGAGATGGTCTCTCTACATAGCCCTGGCTAGCCTGGAACTCACTTTGTAGACCAGGCTGGCAGATCCCTGAGTAGAAGCATTCACCACTTACGCCTGGCTTAGCATTTTTATTTTTAATTGGAAAAAATTTAGATTTAATTTTACTTTATGTGCATGTATTTTTATTTTATGAGTACAAGTGTTTTGCCTGCAGGTATGTATTTATACTATATGTGTGCCTGGTGCTCACAGAGGTCAGAAGAGGGCATCAGATCTCTCGTAACTGGAGCTACAGACAGTTGTGTGTGGGGAACATGAGTGTGGGGAACTGAATCCAAGTCATCTACCAATAGCATCACATGCTCCTAACTTCTGAGCTGTCTCTATAGCCCCCCATTTTTAACTTTTAAAATTACATTTCTTTAGTGTGTGTGCACATGTGCCCACATGTACACAGCACATATGTGGCATGCAGAGGACAATTTGCAGGAGTCAGTTCTCCACTTTTACCATGTGGGTTCATGGGATTGAACTCAGGTCACCAAGCTTGGGGGCCATTGCCTTTACCCACTGAGCCATCTCATGGGCACTAAACTCGGCATTTTGAAAGCTGTAGGTGGGAGTGAGCAGTGGTGGGGAGCACAGTGATCACTGGCAGTTCGTTGGTGCTGAGGTGCTCCCGGGTCATCCATAGGCATTTCTGTAGCATCAGAGCAGATGCTACACAGTTACAAACACACACTCTTGCGTTGTTGTGAAAACATAGCGCAGTCCCTACAGAGGCTTCCTGGACCCATGGGTTGCGCTTCCGCAATGGCTGTGTCCCACCTGGTAGTGACAGGATGGGTGCTCAGAGGGGACAGTGCAGTACTGAGTCTAGCCCCGCTCCTGCCACAGAAGCACTGCAGGGTGACACCAGAATGAAAGCTGGGCCTCTCTGTGCGTATCAGCATCACATTTACTGAGCAGAGGATTTAGAAACGGAACAGTAACAACAGAACTTAGGTCAGTACAGCAAAACAAAAACGTTATTAAGCCAGCCCTCGTTCAAGAGAACAAATTCTAAAATGAAATCCCAGCTACCACATGGGCAAGCTGAGCTTCCTGCCCATCTCCCAGCTGTAATCTACCTTCACAGAGAGATCAGATGCTAGAATTACACACTTAACAAGAAAACCAGAATGGAAAGAAGATGGCTTTTCTAGAATGTGACTGAGAATCTCATTAGCACTTGCCTGACTCGTTTGGGACTCAACACTGCAGCAACATTTAGTTTGCATTGTGTTTCTGAGTGGTATATGGTTTTCTCCCGGCTATTTTTGGTAGTGAAGTATAGAGAAAGGGGGATATGCAGAGGGTAATGGAGGATTAATTTAGGCTCTTTAACCAATTCTCTAAATAGAGATCCTTTAGAACTGAATGTCTAAATTAAAATTCAGCGTCATCTTGCTGTTCAGTGAAGGCATTCTATCCTTAAAGGACATCTGAGAAAAGTGTGAGAACACAGAAGACACAGAACAGGCTTCCAACAGTTTTCAGAGTGACCTCAGGGCCACAGAGGTGGGTCTGGGTCTGCAGAAAGAAGAGGTCACGTTGGTGGGGCTTGCAGCTGACTAAGTTTTCATATATTTTCTTCACTGGGCCCATTATCGTTCAGTTTGTACAAAGACAAACAAGCTTCAAAACCTAGGGCTGAAGCTGGGCATTGTGGACATGCCTCTGACACCACTCTGGGAGGCTGGATCAGCAGCAGTTTGAGTTGAAAGCCATCCTTAGCTCCAGAAAGTTGGAGCCAGCCTATCTACCTAATGAGGCCTTGTCTCAAAAGAAATGTGTGTGTATTAAATATATTAGCAATAAACACACAAAATTCCACAATAGGACTTATAATTTGAGAATCTTTTGTGTAAATGTGTTCACACATGTATAATGCTTAGAGACCAGAAGATAACATCTAATGTCATCCCAATAGGTGTGGTCCAGTTCGTTCTTTCTTCCTTTCTTTGCCTTTCTCTCTCTCTCTCTCTCTCTCCTCTCTCTCCCTCTCTTCTTCCTTTCTTTCCTTCTTTCTTTCTTTCTTTGTTTCTTTTGGTACAGGATCTTTACTTGTCTAAAATTCACCAAGCAGGCTAGACTAATTGGCCAGCACTTCTCAGCACTGGGATTCCAAACATGTACCACTATGCTCTTTCCCCGGGTTTGGAAGGTGCGGGTCAAAACTCAGGTCCTCACACCTTTGCGGCAGGCACTTAGTGGCTGAGCAATCTCTGTAGTGGGTAGCCATTCCAGCTTTGATCTGGAAGTTCCAACCCCCATTGAGGCTTCAGTAACTGTCACGTCTACAAGGCGGGGCCAAGAGAGGACCCTGAAGACCCGAGATCCGGATGCACTGGCTCTCCTGGTTCCTGGACCCTGGACGCTGGAGGTAGACCGAGCAGAGTTCTCCAGAGAACACCACCGGACTGCGCTACGTCTTTCCCAGACCCTGCAACCTACCTATCCCTTCATTTGTAAGTTACGCCACTAAATAAACCTCCCTTTTAACTATGTGGAGTGGCCTTAATAATTTCACCAATAAATCTCTCTAGCCCTATTTTGACAATCTTAATGTCCAAAAAGAGGCTTGCTTGAATAAATTAATGTATTCAAAGACTATGAAATATTATACAGGTATTAAATCCATATAACATATTTACTGATTCTAAGATTTGTTAAATGATATATAGGTAAGAGAAACACATAGATAATTTTTCAGTCTTATTCATTTAAGGGGGTTTTGTTTGGTTTGGTTGATTTATGTTTGGTGGTGCTAGGAACTAGACCCAGGGCCTTGTGCACAGTAGGTAAGTGCTGTTCAACTAAGCCACATGCCCAAGCCACGTATGATTTTCCAGGGAAAGGTCTATCTCAGACCTAGAGCCCTCTTACCTCTTCCAAAGTGCGGAGACTACAATTTCAATAAGAGTCAAAAAGGCTTGTCATTGAAAAGAAATTCTTTTGGAAAGTTGTTTTAAAAATGCCTCCAAAGTGAAAGACGATATGTGGCAAGGCTGTGTGTGTGTGGCGTGGCTTCTGTGCACTCTAAAAATGGCGGTCTTTCAGCCAGGAACTGCCCCCAACCGATGCCCAGCAACGTCTGCTGAGAAAGCTGTCTGAAGGACAAGCTGGAATGAATGGAGAAGGGCCTGCCCAAGCCTGCTGAGCCCCCAGCTTCGCCTCTGTGGATAAGCAGGTAAACGGCTGTGACCAAGTGGGGACAGCTTCTGTTCCTCACTGTCTCCAAATCTACCTCAGAGAAAAGGAGTCTCCACAACTCTAAAGGCACAGTCTTCATCCAGCCCCAGGAAACAGCCCATCAAAGCAGCAGCCTCCCCCTGTGACAGCCACACTGTGTCCATGTTGTCCCTGGGTACCTCAGCACACAGGGGCTTTGTGCTTACATCTTGCTAGGGCTCTAAAACATGTCACACTTCTGTGTGTCCAGATGAATAAGCAAAACTCCATTTCTTCAAAGTCTCTTTCAAGAAAGCACAACATTTTTGTCAAAGGCAAGAGTCCAAGAACTAAACAGGGAGCTATTTCTTGGACCTCAACTCTAGCCTTTGGACAAGCTTATTTATATACCAAAATATCTTTGTCTGCTGTCATGGAATTTTTTTTAAGAGATAGGGTTTTACTGTGCTGTTAAGGCTGGCCTTGAACTTATGATGCCCCTGCCTTAGCTTCCTGAGTTGTAGGATTATAGGCATGTACTACCAAAAGAAGCAGTAGAAACAAGCCCAAGTGGCAGTAAGTTGGAAGTCTTGAAACTGTACCCACAGAACAAACATAAAGTTAACAAAACCCAGGTTTTTTCACAAGTAACAACAGAGCTGAGAAACAGAAGGGCACCCTACCCTCACTGGCCAGCTGCAGGGATGTGCTACACAGCAGCACATAAGCAGTGTTTACGGAGGAGGGGTCGGGAGAGACAGTTCCTTCCCCTGGGAGCCTACACTCCAGTCCCGATTCACTGTTCCAGTTTCCTCCCATCCTCTGAGCTCATTTACAAGTCATGAGCACACAGAGGACAAGAAGCAGGAGGTTTCTGAACCCAGAGGACTTTCTGAAGTAGGAACTGTCATGTGCCTCTCTGAGGACTTACTTCTAGTACTCAAGTACTTAGACCAGCAAACCACACCAGTGACATCATTTCAACATACGTGAGGATTTGGTTCCATAGTGATTCTTGAGTAAGTGTAAGGAAGCTCTCCATACCATGCTGTAAGTCTTGGTTGCGGATAAGTTATATCTAAGAAAGAAAATACAGGGCTCTTGAGACAGTTGCTGCTGGTAAGGTGTGCCTGCTGCCAGCCAGTCCGTGCCTGCACTGTGCAAGAAGCGTGAGGGATACAAAGGAAGAGGAAGGCCGACCCAGTCCCTTCCTCAGACAGGATGTGGGAGGGGGCTAGAAGCTGGACGGGCTACACAGGAAAGAAGACATGCTGGCAGGGATAGCCTGGGCAATGGCTCTGGGGAGGGAGGGATAGCCTGGGCAAAGGCTCTGGGGAGGGAGGGATAGCCTGGGCAAAGGCTCTGGGGAGGGAATGTGTATCATCTGTTTGTTTCAGTCACAGAAAAAAAAAAAAAAAAAGTCTCAAAAAGCAGAATATGAGCCTGGACCTTGGGAAAAAGAATCTGTGGTACCAATAATCCATTTGAAAAACAAGAGAACCTATGTGTCCTAGCAACACTGTACATGCCCCTCTGATCTAAAAAGTGTAAGCAACCGTAGCACACACCTGCCTGTCACAAATGTATGGTATCTAAACTACTTTAGAGAGGTTAGGGGGTTACCATCTCTCCCCAGCAGACGTCAGCCACAACAACAAGATTAAGCACAGGGCTGGGTACATGTAGCTTTCTAAGCCTGCCTAAGACCCTAGGTTTGAACCCAGAACTGCCAAAAAGGGGTGGGAGGAGCCAATGTTCATTAAAGGCCACACACACACACACACACAACACACACACACACACACACACACACACACACCCCAGTCAGCATTCTGTTAAGCAGATATCATGCATCATTTTAATTTAATTAACACATGAATTTTATAATTTATGTACTATTAGATAAATTTTAAAGATAAGAAAACCTAGTCACAACTGTAATTTGCTCAAAATTAACCATTATTTGGAATGCTAAACCAAGCAACCAAAAGTCACACTATGAAAACTCCTAGAATAGGGAGAAGGCTTCCCTAAGAAGGCTGGCTCCTATTCTGACACTTGAGATTAAAGAAGAAGAAGCCAGTTTACATACACTTTGTTTCTTTGTTCACAAGCAATTCAAACTCCACAGCCTACTGGAGTCTATGCTAGAACACAGACGCCTCCTAGTGGCCATGTGTGGTATGCTGGTGCAGGGAGCGCAAGAGTAAAGGCAGATCACATCTTTACAAGCTCAGGAGAGTGGACACTGAAACTGAAAGAGACTGGCGGACTCCAGCGACAGGAAAGAGAACACAAAGTCAGTAAGAAGGACTTGAGAAAAATGTGTGCCAAATGGATTAGCACAAAGAAAGCTCTGGAAACTTCTATGAAGAAGAACCGAGTACCATCAGCACTAACAGGAGGCAGATAAAGCGAAAGGGAGAGCGGGTCAGCCACGGGCCAGCCAGGCAGGCTTTCCTGGCTCTCTGAGCTTTTGCTTCTCTCTTGTCCACTCTCCCTGACCTCTGGGACTCTGCTGGCTACGGCTTCTGCCTGGCATACTCCTTTCTGTCTGTCCCTTAGGGAGTTCTAGGTTTGAACCTGCTTGAGACCAGCTGTGTGAAGCAGATGTAGGGAACTGAAAAGCATTTGAATGGGGACTATGCAGCCTGGAGGCCTACTTACCCTCTCTGATGCCCATCCTCTGTTTCCAGGGGACATCCCGACAAAGGCGCTCCAATATCCAGTCAGCTTCCTTCAAGTCCACAAAGCCAGGATATAAACGCACCCTTAATGCAGAAAGAACTGTCATGAGCTGAACTCCACAGAAGAGGCGGATAGAGTAATGACTGGGGGATCAGTTGATTAGACCTTCACTTGAAAGGGAAGAGGGAACCATCTCACCACTTCCCTCCCACGTGATCTTCATGTAAAATAAACTCCACTCACGGTACCACTAAAGACACAAGGAAGTACCAGGGATGCACGAGGTCTTTTTAGATTTCTGCTTTAAACAGCACTCAAGATACTGCCCAGGAGATAACTGACAGAGTTTACTAGCATGGCTTAGTTTCGAAACCTTGGGTAGGCACTTAATGTCCCTCAGTTTCCAAAAGTGTAACCTAAGGATGACATCCATTTCATAAGGCCACTATGAAGAGTTACCAGTAAAACGCGGGGTTAAAAGGTAATTTTTAAAACTACATCCATTAGAAGACAGAGACTATCATAGCTATCAAAGCAAACACATCCAAATGAGGTCTCCTTTTACTAAATACATTCTCATCCTATTACAGACTCAGCTGAAAAGGTCACTTTGTATCTCTTTCCTAAGAAAAGTCTGGACGTGCCCTCTCTTGCCGTCTTGACAGCAGCTAGGCCTCAGAAGGTTCATGTGATTTAGAAGACCCCGAGGTCATCTAGAACTACCTAGTTAACACAAGACGCGGCTGACCAAGGCAAGACAGCTGGTTCCGCACACTGGCTGTTAAAGTTTGGCTTTAAAGGAGAGTCCGGGTTGATGGCTGCTTTGTTTTGCTGGTGTTTTTATTTCTTGTCAACTTGACACAAGCAGGGGTCATATGGGAAGGAGGAATCTCAACTGAGGAACTGTCTCTATCAGACTGGCCTCTTGGTAAGTCTGCAGGAGTTTTGCCTTAACTGACGATTGAGGTGGGAAGGCCCAGCTTACTGTGGGCAATACCATCCCTCGTCAGATGGGCTGTTTAAGCACACAGATTAACCTAGGAAGAGCAAGCCAGTAAGCAGCATTCCTCCACGGTCTCTGCTTCCGTTCCTGCCCTGACTTCCCTCGGTGATGGAGTGTGACCTGAGAGTTGTAAGATGAAATAAACCCTTTCCTTCCCACGTTGCTTTTGGTCATGGTCTTTATCACAGCAGTAGAAAACAACTAGGACAGGGAGGTTCCGAAAGGGATTAAAACAGTAGCCATTCCAGCCAATTTTACAGGGTGCTCCACATCCAGCAGAGGCTCCTGTTAAGCAATTTTCATTTGTCATTTCTGATGCATTTGTTTATCTCATTGGTTTATGGTGATAGTTAATATACTTGTGCATTAAGATATTTTCAAAATATTTGAAAATAGTGACTGCACTTACTATATGATTTAACTTTACCTTCAGTTCACCTTAATGTGGCACTATAACACTATATAATGAATATATACGTAGTTCATGAAGTACAGCAATAATAATGAAGCGCTCACAGAAGACTCAAGCCAGTGCTGGCACTAAGTTACTGTGAGTGGTGGGGGTGCAGAAAAAGGACTGTCTCTCTGGGCCTTGCTTCCTCATGAAACTGTAGTCATGACAGTTACTGTAACTGGCAGAAGCTGTACAAATGTTTTGATACTAGAAACATTTTGTAAAAAGGAGGTATTACCCGAGTCTTGTGCCTTAACAAGGAGAAGACAATTCAAGAGATGGTAACACAATGACAGCTGCACTCACGTTCCAAGGAGGAGTCACCTACCTAGACACACCTGTGGGGGACAGGCTGATTTCATACACACCTTCCCTGCTAAAGAAGCAGAGGAAAAGCACGTGTTAGTGTGAAACAAAAGAATCCACCGTTTCTGCCTTCCCATGGTCCTGGTTCACTAGGATTGGTTGCCGATAGAGAACACTATGAGGGAGGCTAAGTTACACCCTCCTTAACTGCTGGACAAGGGGCAAAATGGTGGTACATTATTAATGGTGCTGGAAACAGAACCCTGATAGGATCAGGCCATGAAGACAAAGTGGGAGAAAGGAACCTCTGATTCTACCCCCTAGGTTTCGCCCGTAATTATGCTGATATGATCTAAGAATCTATCACCCAAGGAAAGTTTGGAATGAGGCGTACAACCCAGGGGGCAAGTGCATGCATCTCAAGACCTAGAGCTTCTGTTACTTGTAAAGTAAATGTCTAGTGAGTTCTTCCTCTGAGTAAAAAGCCTTCAGTGTTCCCATAACTGCATCCGCGGTCCTTGAGACCTAGACCTCTCTTCTGAGGACTCCCCAGAGTCACCATCTCCAGCATCAACTGCTTGCATTCCCTTAACACAGCACTATGGGTGTTTCTAGCCCATGTTTCTGTATGCTGGAATACTTCCCTACCAGTAAGCAGCGCCTATCCACCTTACCTCCCAGTCTGGCCCAGTGAAAACTTCTGACTTCCCCTACGAAAATCTCACTTAGCCCCACTTCTAAACCTTCCTTGACTATTAATTTGTGCCAGTAACATCACCCATCCCACCCTGTGCCAGTATTAGATCTTATGTACCAAATTACAACTTGTTTACACGTGTATTTTATTCACTAGAGTGGCTTATTTTTCACAGCTTACACACACTGGATGGTGAGAAAAGTTCACTGAATTTAATCAAATGTGGAAAGGTGTGAAACACAGATATGCAGGTGTAAGGTTCACGGCAGAAGAGCAACAGAGCAGACAGGTCATTCTCTACTTTAAAGGTTTTCATATCCCCTCTCTCCAGGGGGTCAGTGGTTCATGACCTCTGAGCTAGGCTCTAGGCAGCTGAATGAGCACAGCTGGCATATATTTCACAACGACCACATCTACAGAAGGTGTCTACAGAGGTTCTGAGGCATGAATACTGTGTTTTAATGAGGCATACTGAACTGTATCTAGAAACTGTCTCACTTAAGCATGAAACACATTTCTGGGAACTGACAAACAAAGCCCAGGAGCATTAACTTTAGATACAGCAAGGCTGAAACCCAAACAAACAGGGGTAGATGCTGTGAGTTTTCTTGACTTGCAAACTTACAATTGCATCCCTCCCATCTAAGCCTGACTGTCATGGTTTCATGGCTTTGTTCATTTTATCACTGATGGAGGTGATAGCGCACAGCTACTATACAAACCGTCAAAGACTAGTAGACCTAGACTGGGCTTAAGTAATTGGAATACTAATCCTTAACATACAAAGAAGAAAATCAAACTCTACACATGTGGAAAGAACTCAGGACTAGTTATATAGCTAACTAGTTGCAAAGATGTGACTAGATATTTTTTGAAATTATGTTGACATTTGTGTTAGCTTCAAATCCTTGTAAAAGCCAATCTAAAATATCTATATAGCATAATAGACTGCTCATGGGCAAGAACATCCATCTGATGCTAACTGCTAACATAAAAGGATCGTTCACACTGATAATTTATTTACATCAGGTGGAAAGGGGGAGGCAGGAGAAAAGAAGCCAAAATATCTATCAGCTTTGGAGAACATTTCAGACACAGATCAATACAAGAGGAACATTTAGCATTGCTTAAATCGCTCAGGAACAACCCCGTGGTTTTAATAAATGGGCCGTAGGGTCATCTAGGTTAGAGAAGCTTTCATAAGGACTGCTAGTAAAATGATACTTACAGGCTTCTCAACAAACCAAGCTCCAGGATTCAGGAAAAAGCCTTTTCTGTCTCCAGCCTACTCTAACAGACACCAATGAAACGGGGCCAGGAAATCTACCCCAGAGGCAGAATTCAATGTGCAGAGATCTTGCTGTGCTTTCTATACCATCAGCAACCCCAGAAAGTCTCCTCGAAAGATCAAGTTCAAAGACTGAGGTAGAACTATTCCTTCCAGCTAAAAATTTAGAGATATTGAGCCATTCTCTTTTTAATGGGAAAATCATGGAGGGAAAGATCCTGGCTGCCCACTTTACCATCGACAATGCTTACTTACTCAATCACTCTGGGTTCTGGGGCTGTACGTACAACCTGCAAGGAAACAGGCAGATCTGAGTTCTGGGATGGTTCCCAAGGGTCAAGAATAACCCATACCTCTCATTGCTAGCCAAAACCAAGGCAGGTTTACAGCTAGCCTTTTTCCAGCCCCATGCCCACTACCCCAATAGAGCATTGTTCCTGTAATCCCTACAACTCTGTCACACTGGACGCTGACAGAAAACGTGATACAATTAGAACTCATCAACTTTCCTGTTGGCCAGAAACTGAAGAAACCTTTTATTGATAAGGAAGACTTTTTTTTTTTCTTTTAAGGAGAAGATACATTCTAAGAGGAGTTTTGATAATTATTTATATCACCTGTGGGTCACAACTTCTTTGGGAGTTGAACGACCCTTTCATAGGGGTCGCCTAAAACCACTGGAAAACACATACATTTACATTATGATTCATAACAGTAGTAAAATTATGAAGTAGCAATGAAATAATTTTATGGTTGAGGTCATCATAAATGAACTGTATTAAAGGGCTGAAGCATTAGGAATGTTGAGAATCACTGATTTATAAGGTTGTTATTATACTAAGATGCCTAATTTTCAAACTGTATTTTTTCCATTTTATTATTAATTTTTTTAAGTGAAGGAGTTGAGGAGACGGCTCAGTTGATAAAGCACTTGCTACAAAAGCATGAGAGGCTCAGTTCAAATCCTCCACACCATGTAAATGCTGAGAGGGTGCAGAGGCTTCTCTGCAAAGCCAGAGCTCGGGAGGTGGAGACAGGGAACTCCCAGGGCAAACTGACTGGTTAGACCAGCTGAATCAGAAAGTTCTATATTCAGCTGAGAGACCCTGACTCGATATAAGGTCAGGAGTAATTGAGGAAGATATGTGATGTCAACCTCTGGCCTCTGCACACACTTCTACAGGCACATACACATGCACACCCATTTATATGAACGTGCATTTGCATAACACACACATGAAAATAAAAAAAGAACTGGAAGTTGAGCTCAAGCTCAACTTGTCTAGCATATATAAGACTCTGAGCTTGATCCCTAGTCCTGCAACGCCCTTGTCCCCCCAAAACTGAATCGTCTATGATTTTTATACTTATTTCCCATGGGAGGTAGGGGGCTAAAAATCAGGCATTTTGCTACAATCACTGAACTTTCAGAAGGATTTTCTGTAATAATTCTGAAGAGAGCATCATTACAGAACTGTTAGGTCTTAGCTAGCCCACTAGTCACAGTATAGCCTTAAGGTGGTAGTGATGGTACAGCTTCCCTGCCCCCACCCAAAAAAAAGGCAGAATACAAAGAATCTTCAGACATATAAGAACACTAAAATAGTTCATATTTCATTATTATTAGAATCCTTTTGTTCGGCTACTCCTAAGTAAATTTATTCAGCCACTGTTGGAGTACCTGCTACAGAAACAGCTTTTTATAAGCACACCTCTGTTACTACTGAAGGAGAAACATCAATTTACCAGCTGAGGTTCTTGGAACACAAACTCTCTGTCAGGCAGCTGCTGTTCCTTGTTCTTCCAGGCCTGCCCCGGTGTTTGGGAAAGATGGCTCCGAGCAGCAGTAGCTGAAATGGCAGAGAAGAGTCTCAAACATGAGCCAATAAACCTCCTTGAAGATGACGTATGATCTCAAATGTAATGGGCAGAGGCAACGAACAGCCTCAACACACTCTGAGGGTACTGACTAAACAGGAGGAACTGAGTTCAAGTCCTTAGCTCACCATCAATAAGATCAGACAAAATGCCAGTCACAGTTAAAGAAAACCGTTACCAACTCAAGTGGGAGTTCATTATAGAGCAAAGGATATAAACGAGATGGTGGCAGCTGTCCACATCCACACACACAGTCCCCGCAGGTTCTTGCCTGGCTGGGCAGTAGCCTGGCTCTTGGCAGGAGCAGCCCAGGCTCCCTGCACTCGGGCTCGTCGTCTTTTGTCTTCCATATTGAACAAAAAGCTTTCTGTTCTGAGATTCCAGAAGATCTCATTCCCAATTCAGACCATGGAATGGTTACCTGTTTTAAAAAAGAAACGAGTGCTTTGTTAAAGGCTGCGAGGGCCAGGCCCATTAAAGGGCAATGATAGATAGCCCTTTTGGTCAGAAGAGACAGCCCAACAGCACAGAGTCATAAAGTCAACTGTCTTTACGACGTCTCTGTCAAGGGCCGACTTCCCCTGGACTGCTGGCTATCACAGCACTTTCTCAATAGGCAGTCTATCAGTCTATCACAGACTGTGTTATTCATATTAGTCTCAAGAGTAGAACACAAGCAACTGTAACGTCCCTATAGTCTGCAACACGAATATTGAAAAACAGGCCAAGCCAGGAGTGGTGGTGCACGCCTTTAGTCGAGAGGCAAAGGCAGGAGGATCTATGCAAGTGCATTGCTGCTTCCCACTGGATGTACTGAATTTCCTGAGAAGCTTTAAAAGCACCATGACAGAGGAACCTGAAGGACTTTGGCCACGTGTAGGAAAAGCTCAGAGAGACAAATGCTACATGACCTCACACATAAAGACTTCAGAAAGCTGAATCCCTCAGAGTAGAATGTGATTGCTTATGATTAGGGAAGGGGGCTAGATGGGGAATAGGACCAAAGTACAAAGTTTCACTTGGACGAAGATAAGCTTTACTGTTCTCCTGCACAGAACAATGACCATAAATACCAAATCCCTGGATATTTCAAAGTTACTAAGAGTCGATTTTAAATAAGGTATGTGAAGTAATAGATGTATTAATTTGATGCACTCATTAAACATCACAAGTACATATGAAAACATCACAGTATCCCATAAATACATACAATAATTTGTCAACTAAAATTAAATTTAAAATGAAAATCTAAAATATTCATATACCACTTTTTTTTTTTTTTTTTTTTTTGGTTTTTCGAGACAGGGTTTCTCTGTGTAGCTTTGGAGCCTTTCCTGGAACTCACTCTGTAGCCCAGGCTGGCCTCCAACTCACAGAGATCCGCCTGCCTCTGCCTCCCGAGTGCTGGGATTAAAGGCATGCGCCACCACCACCCGGCCATATACCACTTTCAAAAACTACGGTTTAGGAACGATTCCATTCCTATGCTTATAACAAGCAGTGAAAGGTAAGATATGCTAATATGTATGGGGAGCAGAAGGGTTAGTGACTTACAAAGTCACTCAGGAAATCAATATCAACTGAAAGTTCAACTTTTATCAAGTCCCAGCCTTAAACTAATCAAACCTCCTACATTTTTGGCCATAAATTATACCCTACAGCAAATACAGAATCCGGGAGGGTCGGGCCATATGTTCTGAATTTAGAGCCACTTATTTTTGGGTCTAGGAAAGCTTCAAGTTCCCAAAGACAGCACACTTACAAAGAGAGGACACTCAGCCTACAGATTCCCAGGCCCCATCTCCTAGACCTTCTGGTCCAACAGCTCTGGGCTCAGGACTCTATGCTTAAATTTCCTATCTTAGATTTCCTTAGGTGTCAAGAATTATGGGTTACCAGCACGCACCTGTAATCCCAGCGTTCAGGAAGCCTGAGCTAAATATTGAGACCCTGTCTCATCAACAGCAACCCATCCCGTGCTTATCATTTATCAAGTAGGGACATGCAGAGGCTGTCACCTGCCCCAAAGAGTTAATGAAACAATCAAATCCAGCTCTCCAGCCTTACGAGATGTGTGACAGAAGTCTTAAAGTGTGGGAGGTCTTAAAGGCCTAAGACGAGGGCTGGCGGTAGTGCCCGAAGGCCTCCGACCCGCTCACCTTGCTGCTCATTCACCCCGGAGCGATGTCCCTCGTCTAGGACAACTAATGAAAATAAAAATTCTAGCGTGCCGTCTGAGACTTAGTTTGTGGAGTCCTAGAATTTATCTACTAACCAAGGTCCCCGCCACCCTGACACTCAAAGCTTGAAAATCTTAAAAAGAACAAGGGCTCTGGCGGTAGCGGGAACTTGCTGGGAATGCAGATCTGTCCCTGTCCCACCTGCAACACTGGCTGAGTCCCAGCCTCTCCCTCACAGGCAGGGGAGTCAGTCAGTGCTGCCCTCAGGGTTGAGGGAAATAAAGCGGGGAGGAGCCTACTGCTGTGATGGGCAGAGCTGGGTTCCTCACACGCCCCGCAAGCCAGACGCTGGGCGAGTTGCACCCACCTGGCTGGACTTGAGGGAAGTTGCCGGCGCTCTGAAACAGCTCAGCTCTCCGGACGCCGGGGAACCTTCAGAGTGGGGCACCAACTCCTGTACCGCCCAACCACAGGCCGTCACTTCCTCCTACGTCACAGACCCGACACCGCTTCCGGTGTGTACCCCGGAGTCCGGGTCGCCCCACATCCCTGGTGCCTAAAGGGCCGCGTCCAGAAGCTGGAGGGAACAGGATCAGAACTGTGGACAGGGGCAGGGGGCTAAGGTGGCTCTGGTGAGGCGGAGATGGGAATGAAGATGAGTCTTCTAGGCCTAGATTCCCCAAGATGTAAGCTCCCCGAAACTAGTGCTGGCATCTTTGGTCTGTTGTGCAAAGGGCAAGCGCAGTACCCCGGAACTTGGTGGACCGATCGGGGAGTTGGAAGGTCATGGTGTGTTCAGCCATAAAATTCGCTTGTTATCTTGAAAACCATGAGGAGCCTAGGATGTGCTTTGTTTCCACTGTAGCCTGCTCAACTTTGGTTCATAGCATTTAAGGCGGAGCATGGGATCATGTCTTATTTGTCTGGGTTCCCCAGTGCAAGGTAAATTTTACTTGAGTCCACAGATCTGTCTAAATTTCATCTAGTGCCACCATTCACGGCAAGTGCTCCGTTTTCTTTTTAAATGATCATAGCTCCTGTTAGCAGGATTAAATGAGATCACAATGTCTGGAACGCTATATAAATTTAATAATTCAAGATAGCCCAAAGTGTCTTCTCACCCATCTGACCTCTTGAGAAGCATCTTTAAAGTGACCAGGTTAAGCCCATGTATCTTACAATATGACTGTTCTAAATGTAGCACTGGATCAAATATTTTTCTGCAAGTTTTTCTCTAAAATTTACCCAAACATGATTATTGTGAAATCTTTCAAATAAGCCTGATACTGTAAGAGTAGCAATAAAGACCTTTTAAGAAAATCCTTTTCTGATTAAGAGGATAGAATCTCTGTCCTGGGGAGATAATAGCATCGCTGTTGGTCCGTGTCAATCACCTGGCCAAAGGACTACCCCTAGAAGGTAGGCTTACCTTAAGCAGCACTAAAGAGATAAGCGGACAAATTAGTCCTTTAATGAGATACTGTACTTTCCTTCTCTGAATTCCCACCCTCTACCACAGTCTCTTACTGAACATAACCATACTGGTTCCTAAGTTTTCCTGCTTTTCTGAAAGATCCAGAAAAAACAAATAGACATAGCTTTTCTTTTCTTGCCATCTCTGCTCTAAGCATGCTTCCCCTAACACTTCAGGCTTCCCCCAACATTCTCTGCTTCTTTACTCTTTCTCTAGTGCTTCCCTGCCTGCCATGTGGCTGCTTGTCCACCCTGCGTCTGACCTCCATGCCCACTTAAACAGCATAGCTTTCCCCTACTTCTCCATTCTCTTCCTCTGAGCATCTGCTGAGATTTACAGCTTACCTGCCTTCAGATGTTTGGGTTTTTTTTTTTTTAACTAATAAAATTGCCCTTGAACTTCTATTTGAGTCCGTTCTTAATGAGACTAAGACCACCAGGCAGCAACCCCAATTTCCCTGGTATTGAGACTGAATAGTGCTCAGCTGTAGCGAGCTCAATGTTCCTGACCAATGTTCTGATATTGCTGCCACGTTCAAGTCCAATTTTCACGGCATCTATTTTTTGTTATACTTTGTGACATTGAAGGGAAAATGATTTATCCCAGAACTGAAAAGAGCGACAGCTGAATTGTAATTTTTACCTTTTTTTCTTTACCACCTAGTAATTGTTCAATGTCTGCTTCTGGCTCAGGAACATTTGATACATCTCCTAAAGGGTGTTATTTCTTTCTTTTTGATGACTATAGTTTGAAACAGCAATAGAGATGCCTGGAGTGAAGTGTTCCTAAAAGCAGTGATTAACACCTAGTCAGCCTCAATAGAAGGCTTCAAAAAAAATCAGCCTGAAATCACAGCACTTTCTTTTCTTTTTTTTTATAGTATTTTTTATTTAAGACAATTTTTAAATTTAAATTTTAAATATATTATGATCATATTCTTCCCCTCTCCCAAGTCCTTCCAGACCCTTTCCCCATCTCTACCCATTCAGCTTTAAGTTCTTTCTCAAAAAACCCAATACAACAAAACAAAAGCAAAAATAAAGCAACACTAACAAAACAAAACAAAAACCAAAACCACCCAACTGTAACCAAATAAAAGCAAACAAAAAAGCCTGTGGGGCCATTATATATTGGTCGACTATTCCTGAACATGAGGCCTGCCCTGGAGTGTCTGATATACCCATGGAGAAAATTGACTTTCTCTCTCCTAGCAAATATAATTGATAGTTCAGTTGTTAACCTTTATCCTAGTGGTTAGGTTTCATTCATTCATTCATTCATTCATTCATTCATTCATTCTTTTCTTGGGGGGGGGGTTGAGACATATAACAAAATGAAATATAATAAAACCAAAACTATCACATAGAAGTTGGACAGGACAAACCAACAGAAGGAAAGGGGCCTAAAAGAAGGCACAAAAATCATTCACCCACTCAGGAATCCCATAACACTAAACTGGAAGCCATAATATGTACACAGAGGACCTGGTGTAGACCCGGACAGTCCCTGTGCATGCTGCTTCAGTCTCTCTGAGTTCAGATGAGCTTTGCTTATGCTGATTTAGAGGGCCTTGTTTTCTTAGTGTCCTCCATCCCCTCTGGCTATTACTCTCTTTCCATCTCCTCTTCCACAGGGTTCCCTGAGGTATTCAGGGAGGGATTTGATGGAGACATCCCATTTAGAGTTGAGTGTTCCAAAGTCCCTCACTCTCTTCACAATGTCTGTCTGTGGGTCTCCATATTTGTTCCCATCTGCTGCAGGAGGAAGCTTCTCTGGTGATGGCTGACCAAGGCACTGATCTATGAGTACAGCAGAATATCATGAGTCATTTTATCACTACATTTATTTTGTTCTCTTAGACCAGTATTGTCTGGTTTCACCAGAGGTCCCTGGGCTACCTAGTCTCAGGTTCTTGACCACTCAAGCAGTGATCCATCTTGTAGGTGTTCTTTTTTTAAAAAAAAAAAAAAAAAAAAAAAAAAAGATTTATTTATTTATTATGTATACAGCATGTATGACAGCAGGCCAGAAGAGGGCACCAGATTTCATCACAGATGGTTGTGAGCCACCATGTGGTTGCTGGGAATTGAACTCAGGACCTCTGGAAGAGCAGTCAGTGCTCTTAACCTCTGAGCCATCTCTCCAGCCCCAGCTGGGTCTTGAGATCAATTCCAATCTTCCTAAGGAGTCGCCACACTGATTTACATAGTGGTTGTGTGAGTTTGCACTCCCACCAGCAATGCATGACTGTTCCTCTTACTCCATATCTTCAACAGCATGAACTATCACTTGTTTCATTGATCTTAGCCATTCTGACAAGTATAAGAGGAAATCTCAAAGTAGTTTTGATTTGCATTTCCCTTATAGCTAAGAATGTTAAACATTTATTTGTTTTTCAGCCATTTGAGTTTCCTCTATTGAGAATTCTGTTTAGATCTGTATCCCCATTTTAAAAATTGGCTTGTTTTCTTGATATCTAGTTTCCGAGATTGATGACCTGAGTTCGATCCCCAGAACCAACATAAAGGTGGAAGACAGAACAATTTCCACAAAATTGTCTTCTGATCTCCATACACATACCTCCACATTCACTCACATCACACACACATTCACACAGGACTTTAAAAACAAAAAAACTAAAGCTATTTCCTCAAAACCTAAAATATCACTGTGGTCCATTAATAAAAGTTAGTGAAAGTGAGAAGTTGTGGTGCTCATGTGAGAACTGGAGTCGTAGCTCAAGTTTGACTTACAATGGGCTCAGATTGTTCATAATCTGCTTTGGCTACCAGCAAAGACTTGGAAGAATTGGATGATGATGCCTAACTCATTCCCATTTAAGTCATTATTGACTGACCACTCTGTGGTGAGAGATCGCTAGACTGAGTCATGAGGAGTGGGTATTGGGTTCCCTGGATAGTCAAAAGATACTTGATCAAGAATGGGAAAGCTTGTGACCACGAAGTCTGGGAGAAAGTGAAGCAGGTAGACAAATAATAAAGATGTTTGTGTACAGTATGAAGGCATTCCCACCCCCTGTAGAGGAGGGTTTTATAATCACTCGATGCAGTGACATGCTCTATCAATGCCAGCCTCTTCTCAGGGCCTGCCTGCCCAATTAGTTGTCAAAACATAGCTACTATCACAAGGATGGAGGATATGTATGAGCTCAGTGACATGAATTCCCCCTGCCAAAGCTGAACTGGCTACTGCTACTACTTCAAACCTAATCTGCAAATGTTGTAATCCATTATGGAGTCCTCCATATGTTACCATGCCTCAGGCAGTCACCGAGTCACTTGGTGACAGAATGACTACATGGCCCCTTTCCATCCTGGCGAGGGCAGAGACTCCTCATTCTCCCTGGAGTGTAAACACACTCTGGATACCTTCCTGGCCCATACTGCTTTGGCCAGGGAGACCATCTGTGAACTCCCAAATGTCTTATTCACCGATGGCATCCCCAAGGGTATTTACAGCTCCTGATCAAGGAAATGACTTCATAGCAAAGGGAATGAATACACCAGTGGACTCAAGCCCATGGGATTAAATCCCCACCACCTGGAAAGAGTTGACCTATCTGTAAGAAGGTGGTGTGGGGCAGTAAAACAGTATTCCCATTGAGTTGGGATAGAAGACTGCCACCTGGCCCTCTTGGGTTCTCTATGTCACTGAACTGAAATGAGAGAAAAAGCTCCGTTCTTTCATCTGAGGTGATTGATCCCAATTATTAGAGAATTATTTGAGTAGCTGGTATATAATGGAGGCAATAACTGTGTCCAGAACCAAGGGCATTGCTTCAGGTGCCTCTTAGTTCTTCGTGCCCACAGTAAGTGGAACCAGGAAACAACAGCACCAGCACCAGCGACAACACAGAATAATTAATAGCTTGCATCTTTAGGAATGAGGATCTGGGTCACTCTGCTAATAAAAGAAACCAGGACGCCAAGGTTCTTGGCTAAAGGCAAGGGAAACATGGAAGGGACAGCAGAATAAGCAGCCATA